GACTGGGGCGGCGGACGGGGCTGGTCAACCATTTCCTCAGAGTGTTTCCTGAACGTTTAGGTCCAGGGGAGCTGGACTGCAGGGAGTTGAGGGACGCCTGAGGCTGGAGGTTGGCCACGGACTCAGTTTTCCCATCAGAGACGGGGTAGTTTTCTAAAAAAATAAAATAAATAAATAACAGAAATAAGTTTACAATCAAATCTTATTTAAATAAATGAATCTAACCCTTCAGTTAAAGAATTTCCAAATTACCCCCTTGGTCTGTCGTCTGTCGGTTATTTTTTTGGCTTGTGGTTATGTTTATTTAGTACAGTATTATTAGTAGTAGTACTGTATGGGTTTTTCTTATTTGTACTTTGTCTTTGTGTTGACTGATGAGTATATTTTTGGCTAACAGCCATAAGAGTTTAATTTTGTTTGTTTTTTTGCTTATTGCTACTTTTAGCATTTCAAAGGCAAAGTTCCATTTATTTACATATTTTTAACCTTATATTTCATTTAAATTTTTTCCTTTTTTCTTTTACTATAAAACATAACTCTTTAGAGTTGTTACTACGTGATTTTCTTTTTATATATATATAATTTTCCTTTTCATATGTAATATTTTATGGCCATATTTCTGCCTTTTCTGAGATTTTTTTTTAAAACTGTTAGCAACTTCATTCAAATGAACATCATTTTAAGCAGTTAGGCTACCTTTAGCCAAGTATAAAAAAGTGTTTAATGTCCTCAGCTTGTTTGTTTTGGTAGATTTTATCTATTTATGTCGATTACAGACTCGAAAAGTTTTTGTTTTTCTAAGTAACGCAAATTTGTAAAAAAAAAAAGTGCATCAATTTAAAATCATCACTGAAGCCGATCGCTCTCACATCAGTGTGAAAAGTAAATAGGAAATGAATGTATTATATAAACAACACATTTCCCGACTCATTCTAAATGACAGGGCGACTGTGTGTTGGAGCTGGGTCACTCCAGCCTGAGGAGAAATGTTATTTCCGAGTACCAGAGACGATCAAAGACAGACGTTAAACTCCAGTCATGTGTCAGGAGTGAGGTGGATCAGCTGCACTCACACACGGCTCAGGGCTATACAGTAGGAAGAGGCTTCTGTGGGTTCTGTGTGTGTTGTTCTGTCAGAAAGTGAAAAGTTTACTGGTCACCAGCGTCCCCTCAGGAGGTTCCTGTACCATCAGCCTTACAATTCTTCATTATACTTCTATTCCAAGTCTCTGGAGAGTAGGTTTTACACTTGGATTATAAAAGTCATTTTTCGTAGAAATTACAAGAACCTATTAACTCTTTGTTTCTTGGATGAGGTTCAGTCTTTTTGCCCAACATGACTCACACATCAGTTCCTTCAAATTAAGCAGTTTTTTGGACTGATGACACCGTGTTTGTGGTTTATAGTTTGACTTGTTATTTTTCAGCGTTAGCAACAACATCTTCGTTGTATCAGAAAACTCCGAACAACAGCTGCAGTAGTCAAGGTCACATACAACCACCAAGGTTCTTATGTTTTTTTATTTCTTCTCTCACAACCAAGTCTGTTTGTTGTTTCAGATCTCCGATGGTAAACTATCTAGACTTGATTTGGGATTGGCCACAGCTACGGCTGAAATAATTATAAGACACACGCACGAAGCTAAAAGATAGCCAAATGCTATCAAAGACAACATATAGCCAATTAGCCAGAGGAAACAATACATGTACAAAACAAACAATACACCAGAGGAAACAATACATGTACAAAACAGTAGTGATGTAGAGGTTAATGGTTACACTGTAGGTAAACAGTTACATCTAAAGGTTAGCCCAGGTGTAGGCAAACATTTGACTTGTGGACCACAATGGGTCCTAACTTTTGACAGGGGGTCCGAGTCAGGAGCAGATAGATGGTGCGTTCGTGTGAACTATGATAAATGACATAAAGGCTAAATGCTAAAATGCTTTTAGCCTTTTCTACACCATCTATTGGGGAAATGGCAGGGAAAAGGCTAACAATAATATAAATAATTAACATCAAAGACAACATATAGCCAATTAGCCAGAGGAAACAATACATGTACAAAACAAACAATACATTGCCCATGCCTGGGTTAGCCAAAACATAATAAAAAGCTAACAAGCCAACCTAAAACCAAACCAAAAATGTCTAGAATGGAGTATAAAAATAGGTTTAAATAGACAGAGATCAATCAAATATGAATCAAACAACCAAAACCTACCCAGATACAGCTGAATTCTGAATTTCACAAAACTCAGTTTGAAATTATTATAAAGTTTAAAATCATGGAAAGACTTTTAGGTTTGTTTTGTTTTTTTCTGTTCTTTTAAAGAGACATCAAGAGTCCAACAGCACTGTTGTGTTTACTGTACGTGACTTCACTGCTGCGTCACTCTCTCATTAACATCACATCTGTTGTCACTCCGTCCCAGTGGTCACTCCTTCAAGAGAGTTTTCCAGCAGATTCAGTCATGTGCTTTTAAGTGAAGGATACGTGTCAGAGGTCACTGCCTCACCTGTGTGTGAGAGTATGTGAGAGAGAGACAGTGCAAGCAAGGCAGAGAGAGAGAGAGAGAATTCCTCAGCATGTGTCCTTGACAGCTGGCTGACCACAGAAACTCATTAAAGACTTAATAGAGCGCGCAAACACACACGTACACACACTCACACACACACACACACACGCCAACGTACACACAAACGCACCAACAGAACAGAGAGAAACTCCTGCTTCACAATGACTCCGTACATCCAGGGTCAAACGTAATTCTCAGCAGGACAGACCTGATTTAGTCGTCAGTGGGTCATGTGACATCACACAGTCGACGGAGTTAATCAACACGTTTGATTATAAGAACGTCAAAATTATTATTATTGTTATTTGAATCCAATTTAATTCATTTGTGAAGTTTAATCACGTACCAGAAATTTCTAATTAATCCAGATCACTGATAGACAAACTGCACACATGAGGACGGCGAACACACCGACTCCACCTACAGGTGGTGCTTTCATTCATTCATATTAGTTATGACTAGTTCAGTCATTTCTGTGAGGAGTATATTTAAATACAGATGTCACTGTAGTTTCATCTGTGATAAGATTAAGAGTTTCACTAACAGAGACAGGAATGTCCGTCTCTTTTTGGTCTGTCCACAGGCCCCTGCCCCACGTCTTTGGAAAATTTAATAATCTAATCTGGACCTCAGATATTTATCTATTTATTTCAATTCAAGCTGAAAAACAGAATAACAACAAATGAAAGTTGGTTTTATTTCTATAATCAGCCATTCATGAACTTTACGTACAGTTAGTAGAGGAGCTCTTCAAACTATTAGGAACTGTTATTACTACTATTTAGAATATATTTGCTAAAATAGTCTCTTTTTTAGCTTTGTACCTCCGTCATTATATTAAGATTTTTTAATCACTTTTTCTTAAATTTATGACTGACTACATTTGCAATTCCTGCATCTCAGAGATTTTTAAAAAAAATCTATTTCTTGTTAAGGATTTTAAGCAGTAGTACAAATACTCTGTAGCGTACAGTAATGTGTGTGTGTGTGCAACAGAAGACTGTGACACTGATGGCAAAAGTCAGGTGAGAGGACACAAGTGGGCTGTTGTTCAGAAGCCGAGTGAAAACACAGAAGGTCTACTGTTAAAAATCAATCACTCAGTATCTTTAATCATGCACGCACACACACACACACACAAGCATACACACACACACACACAACCTCACACACACAGACACAGATCTGGTGTCCAGTCATCCAGTACTAGCCTGAAATGCTGCAGGATAGGGTTTGTTCTCACATTCTCTGGGGCTAACACACACACACACACACAGGCTCCCGCACTTGTGCACACAGACACACACAATGGCACCATTGATAAATACAGTCTGAGCCCATCTCTCCTATACAGTTGCACTGATACAGATACGCTCGACGACATATTTCTGTTTGTCCCAAAACTACAACAGCATTCAATAAAACTGTAAAGACAGTTGTTATTTGTGTGAAAAGCACTCAGTAGCCGTCGTTGGCCCCGCCCACTTCCTCTCCTCCCATGCGTGCCGTTCGGTAGATGATGAGAAGAGACAGTAATCTGGGAAGATGGCATTCCTCTCATTCCTTCTCTGTGTCTTTTTCTTTCTCTTTCATTCCCTTCATATCTGACGAGACACTGTGTTGCAGCATTACTCAGCTAACCAGATGGTAACATGTTGCAATGAACTAGAATAGAATCTGCTTCGGTTCCCCTTATCAGGATACAAGGAGAAACTGCCAGTGTAGCAGCAAAAACCCTGAGGACAATATTTTTTCCACCTCAGGAAACATTAATTTGTCAGACGTAAAAAGGACTTGTTTATTTTGTTGTTTATTGATCAGTTTTGGAAATAGACCTTTAACATTTAGATCACGGAGGCAAAAGAGAAGCTCTAACAGACTCTAAAAGCAGCTGACATCATTTGGAAGGCAAATTAAAGTCTAACTATAATTAACATACTGCTGTATATATCGCTAGAGTCCTGTTGTGCACATCAGCAAAAAGTATCTTCAACTGTTGTTGATGAAACCCAAATACCAAAGCAGCAGACATGCAGCCTTTAGGTCAAACCTGCCTAATATTGGGCTGAGATCCTTCAAAGGCAGCTGTAAAAGTCACAAAAGGAAAAACTGAGCGCCTTTTAGATCCAAGTATG